GTATAATAAATATATTATGCATCCGCATGCACCATCAAAATATCCATATTATCCGGTAATTATTTTACAGGGGGGGGGGTGGTTTAGCCCGCGAAATACGGTAATAAATAATTTTTCAAATTAATTTTACGAGTTTATTAATCTTTAAAAATGTGTACGAACATAATTATCAATATTTTTGTACAATTGGATGCTTGTAGCTTAAACAATTTCTACCGTTACGTAAATTTGAAGAATGTGCATACGGGGAATGTATATGCTGTAATACTTTTCTCAATTCATTTTACACAACATTTATTAATCTGAGGAAACGAAATATTGTACACTCTTTAAAAATGTGTACATACTTACCAGTGTTTAAAAGGTGCTAGGTTTCTTTGAATTGTGATCATTATAAATATCGTTCATTTTTCCATTTAATCCAAAAAATTTTGACGTGCAAAGTTATATCTAAGGTGTATATAATTTTTTGGTTACTAATATCATTTTTTATTGATCTCATTTTTTTTTCAATATTTTTGTTTTTTTAGATGAAATTCACTTATTTACTGCGATTATTTGTTTTCGGATTTTTTTCGGATGCCGTTTTAACATCTCCCTTAGTCGCTAGACAAGGACTCCCTGGATGTCCTTCAAGACCAGGTTTACAGTGTAACTTCGTTCAAGTGACCGACGCGGGTGTTTCCCTCCCTCCATGTGATAAATTGGCTATTTGTAATTATGATTCAGAAAATAACATGGCTTTATGTAACCACGTTGATTATCAGTGCGCTCTTGGCGAATTCACGCATCTTAAATCATTTTGTACAATTCCTAACGATGGAACTCGATGTGGATTTACCTGCAGAGACTGCTTTATTTGTATTATTAAGGAGAAATTGTTGTTTTACTGAATCCATTAGGTGTGCACGGAAGAAATCAAGGATTAAAAGAGAATTAGGATTGTTAGACGATCTTCTAGTCCATACATTATTGATCCACCACAGCATTTCTATTTCATTTACCCAACCTTTTACGTTTGCACGAACGAACACATTTGCTGGGAAGTTCCTTGAGGTACAGTTTTTCTTTTAAAATGCAAACCGCTGGTAGTTTCGTACCATCAGCTATACATCCAAGAATAACTGTAAAATTTTTTTTTTCATTACTTGAGGTACGAATACTAATGGTATGAGCACCACATCTTTCAATTGTTGAAGGGTTTGGTGAATCAAATGTAAGAGGCGTCTCGTCCATATTACCAATAAGAAATAAGGGAT